AGAAGGTGTACTGCTTTAAGAAACAGATTTTTTGGTTTGGAATTCAACTAATGTCTTCTATTGGTATTACATACATGCTAAGAATGAAAAAAAGAGCAAACTGTCTGCATTCAGATTCATGTGTTTTTCTAGAGCAGCATTTTCTAATTCATTTGATGGCTTGTTGTAGATAGAGATATGAAAGCAATCATTAGTGCAAGATGAAATGGTTACTTCATTTGAATATATGCCCTGAAAGGAAGATTTTCAAATTAGTTCAGCAAAGTAGGTTGAGGTTAGTTGCGAGAAAGTTTTCTAAACATGTTCAAATGATTTGTCATATGAAAAATAAATCTAGCCTTAGGAACAAAGAAGGTGTTTGAAAGAATTATTTCTCTAAAGGGAGAAGGACAAATATGATAGGGAGAACAAGCCAGTCACAATGTGAGCAAATAAAAATAAAAAACTGGGTCCATGGTAGGCTGAGGGAAAGAATGTGCTGACTTGGGAGAGTAGATCTGAGAATGTTTTACCTTCAAATCAGCAGTCCAGAAAGGAAGTTCTGGGATGATGGGATTGTGGATTCATCCCACATCCTGGGATCCAAGGCTAAAGAGAAATTCATTAAATTTTGTAAAAATGACTTTTATTCACCATATGTAATTGTCATCTCAGAGGCTTACTACTGAAAAGGAAAAAAAAATACAAAAACAAAAAACCTCACCCTTTTTAGCTCTTTCTGAACTTTGGTTGCCTGGTTCAGTTCAGGTGTTCTGGCCCAAACTTCTCTCCAAGCTGATTGATTCAAAGTGGTTTCTATTGGCTTCTAACTGAATTGCTCTCCCTGCCCTCAAACTAACTCTGGCAATCTGTTCTAGTCTTCTGGCTTCTTCTTTACCTGTGTCTAGCTTGTTTTCTCTTCACTACATCTCTGTAAAGCTCTCCCTCCAAAACTGACTCCTCTCTCTCTGTCTTTCTGCTCCTGCTGCTGCTCCTGCTGCTCTCCTAAGTGGCCTCTTTCCTGTGCTGTTCTCGCCATAGTTGGGCATAACCTCTCTCTGACGCTCTCTGTGAAATTTTTCCCTTATTCATCACTTCATCTGCCCCTTAATTAGATGTCACTTTCAAATATGGCTGTTTCTCTCTAAAAACTACCTTTACCTTCATTGTTTGGGATTAAAGGAGTGTACTAAGGGTGTGTTTGTATTCCAGCCATAGGGATTAAAGGTGTGTGGTGTGCCTACACTCTAGCTGGATCACACAGACCTAGGCCTATGGATGTGATCCCTTGACAGAGCAGCCACATTTCTGGATTAAAATCCATCAACAAATTTGGTTACAATTAGTAGCACATCTTTTCCAGTTTGTCCAGAGGCACAAGTGGTTCAGCTAACCATGTATAGATTGAAGAATAAGGGGTTTGTGGGTTCACAATTCTTCTTACTAAAGCGAGAATCCTAACCCTCATATATGCCACCCACGAAATGGTCTTTGCTGTGCTTGGACTTAGAAGAGAGGGAGAATTTCTTGAAATTTTGTTTGTGGTCAGAATCACAGGCCCAGGGTCAAGTACATTATTTGCATGTATAATGAGCACAAAGGGATTTCTGAGGAAAAATAGTTACTTGGCTAAAACTGAAGGATTAATTGATAAACAAACTAGAAAACTAACTTATTTGAGCTTACTATGGCCATGGTAGCAATGGCAGAAGCAGAAGGTGTTATTTATTATGTTCAAGTAGGCCTGTGTGCAGGCCTGGCCAATGCATTCATTCTTCTTCCTACTAGTGAGGAAAACATGGCTTCCCTGTGTGACTTCCTTTCCCCTAGGCTTTTATTCCAGCTCAGGAAAATGAATTCCATTGTTTTGGATACCCACTTAAGTTGGACAAGATATGGTTTTTGGGATTGTTCTAAAAGCTGGCAAAAAGAGATCTCAAAGCTTTGCCCAGACCCAAGTTCTTCACATCTCAGGGAGCTTCTGTGTGGTTATAATGATCCTTTCGAAGCCTTGTAATGTTTTTGTCAGTTCAAAATGCTTCTATTAAATTAAGAAAGAAATCACAAATAAATGAAAGAATGATAATTTAAAAAAGAGCAATCACTTTTTTAAAATATCTGTAAAATGATTAGAGCAAATTTTAGCATTTAACATAATTTAAAAACTGTGTCTAGTATCAAAGTGCCAATGAATCAACACTTTCACCAAGAAAAAGAAAAGATTCAAATGTCTAAGCTCTGTCAAGTGCAATACCCCAGTGACAAGTGGAATATTTGAAACTGAGTCAAAATGTATACTATGGTTTTGTGTGCAGAGGTCAAATCAAACGCACATTTTAGCAATACAAAAATATATAGTGTTTAAACTTTAACAGCATTAACAGTGTTAATTCTAGCCTTTCAGAGGTATTCAAGAGGTTTTGCCTAAGACAGACAAATTACCTCAGTAATTCTCAGTCACTAAGATATAGGTATAGAGGCACTTGGTGACATGACCGAAGCTGCAGGTTTAGTAAGATTCCAACTGAAATGAAGAGAGCTAAGAATGTGTACATTGGTATAATCGAATGGCTGTGATTTTTTTTTAAAGTAGATAAAGTTTTGCATGGTATTTCTCCAAAGAACTAAAAGTCTGTGGCTCAAAATGAAACATGCCGTTTGATGTCTGCCACAATCTACACAAGTGAAGTATGCCATCCATATTTGTTTCAGCGTAGATGATTCTGTACTTTGAGAATATTTTTCTTAACATCGTTACTTTTTACCCTGGCTTCTTCCTATGCAAGTAGGTCCTAATGCGTTCCTCAAATACCCACTATCTCCCCTCTTTTGGGCCAGTTGATTTTTCTTTTCAGTTTGGATTTTAATTTTTGGCTTTTTTGCACACCTGATTTTAAATATGTATGTATGTCTGTATGTATATGCATGTATATGTATTTATGTGTTCATGCATATGTATGTGTATATATCAGTATATGTATATGTGTGTATGTATATATGTATGTATGTGTATATGCATATGATGTACATATATAGAAAGGAATGTTAGTTTATATGAATTTTACTTTCCTGGGTGGTGAATAATTCTATAATCTATAAAGTATTTTTTAATTTTAATTTTTTTCTTCACAATTTATTCATTTTATATATCCAATTGAAGCTCCCTCCCTCAACTCTCCCAGTGCCAGCCTCCCTTTCTCTTTCCCCCAGTGCCTTCCCCTAGTCCATCAAAAAGGGGAGTTCTCTACCATTGCCATCTTCCCATAGCTTGATAAGTCACATCAGGACTGCCTGTGTCCTCTTCCTCTGTGGCCTGGCAAGGCTGCATCACTAGAGGCGAGTGATCAAAGAACAGTCAACCGAGTTCATGATAGAGGCAGCCCTGTTATCCCCTCAGTTGAAGATCCACATGGAGAGTGAGCTGCCAATCAGCCATATACATTCTTGAGTGTACTTTGGAAATAATATTCTTAGGAGCAGTTTCATTCTGAGGGGTCATCTTTTAAAGTTTGTTAGCTTCAATTCTGGCTTTACTCATTTTCTACTGAAAAATGAGACATTTCTTACTAATCTAACTCTCTTAGAAATTAGTTTCTCTCCTTGCTGTTGGATTCTGTGTAATGGGTGCTGTTCTCTGTAAACTTTAAGGATGGTTCTTGAGAAAAGAATTTTCTTCAGGTTCCTCTATACTTTCCATGTTTTCAATCTTGGTTTCAGGGGAGATTGTTCAGATCTCACTGGGTTATATCACTCTGGACTAGAAATTCCCCTATTAGATATGTATTGTTTAAAGAAGAGGTTGATGGAGATGCTGTTGTGTAGCCCAGTGCTTGAAAGGCTAATCTATGCGTTGACAGTGCTCCTGCAGTAGTAGCTTCTATTATGACTGGCATACTGAAAGGCTTGCTACAGTTATCTCGAGAGAGTAGCAAAGATACTGAGCTCAGGAACATGGTAAGGAAAGTGTTTCCAGAGTCATAGTTAGCTCTTGGCCTTTCTCTTTTGTAAGCTGACATATAGACATCAGTGAACAGGCTGTAGAAAAGCTTTACCTTGAGTTCTCTTGCTCTCTTACCATTTGACATACACAGAACGAGCATGTTCAGTTGAGTGCATGAATTCCTACTGATTCTGTGATTTAGGACTGTCATGGAAGCAAATTATTAAGCATATATTTTAATGTTATATGATTGAAGTAATGGTAAAAATTCAAGTGATAAAAGAATAATATATTTTTAATTCTATAGTATCTTTTGAATCACCTTGGGGTCCTAGTTAAAGTGAAGGCCCCTGCAATATCAGCATGAGAGTGCCCGCCTCTTTAAAGAGAATACTCCTTCCGTAGTCACCTATTAATTCCTTCCATGGCCCCAAACAGCTATTCTAACTGTAACCTCCCCATAAACCGTTACTGTGTAATATGTCTGAGACGGACTCTAGAAGTAATTTTTAAATGAAACATTAGCCAAATAAATAAAGTGTCTGGGCTGGAGAGTCCCTTGGCCAAGTTATTGTATGTGTAAATGTATTTATAAAATGATTTTGCTGTTAAAAAAAGCATAACATTTTTTCCTATGTATCTCTATTGTTAAGGAGAACTCCAAACTTGACTGCATTTATTTTTCACAAGTTCAGAAGAGATGTAGCTTTCCTTAAATTTACAGATGAATATAACAAACTATATGTATGCCTGGGAGGACTTTTAGCTGACATATTTCACTTAACTCCTTCTCTCATAACATACCTATTTAAGTTTATCTTTATCTATCCCTGTGCGGGACTTAGTAGACTATTGCCTGTCGAGTAGCCGACACCTCTTAAAGGATTTCTAATTTAAATTGCACTGAGTTGGGGGTGGTGGTAATACTATAACCCCAGCAATTTGGAAGCAGAGGCAAGAAAAATTGCCCTTAATTTGAAGCCAGATTTGGCTACATAGCAAGACCTGTCAGAAAAGCAAACAAAAAATGTCATCAACACAGAAGAGGTAATTCATCAATGCATCATTTATGTTTTAACAGGATAGTGTTACTGAGTTGAGCTGTTGCAAGGCTCCACATCATGAACCGTGCTTTCAGCAGGAAGAAAGGTAAGCAAACTTGGGAGTCAAGTCAGTATTGCTAATAAAGTGCAAATAAGACATTTGCTTTTCCTATTTATCAAACCTATTTATATTTCTATATAAATATAAAAATTTATATTTATCTAATATAAATTGTTCTAATTTATATTAGAGCAATTCCATCTAAAAGTATTACTAATTAATATATTTTGGTGGCACCATAATTAAAAAGTTGACTTAATATGCTTAGTTAACAATACATATGAACATATTATATACTCTCTAGCAATTTTGAAATTGCGTAGAATAAAATAATCTGAAATCTTTCCTTATGGAAGGAGAATTTTAGTAGTGTTGTTTTTTAAAAAAAATGAAAATCCCAACAATTTTATTTTACCAACAAAGTCTCAAGAGCCAGATGCTGGGGTGAAACCCTGCAAACTCAGAGAGACAGAGAAAGCACCCAGCTGACCTATCTACTCACCTTTTTCCCAGAAGGAAAAAGCCTAAATCCAGAACCTAAAAATCAAAAGCCCAAAGCCGAAAGCTAGCTATCTCACCTGATGGCCTAGGATGAAAAGGCCTGCTAGCTCACCCAACAGCCTAGGAGGGAAAAGCCAAAGGCTAAAAACCCAAAAGCTCTTGGGTATGTGCTATGTGCTTAGCCACACCGAAATCACCTGTTTACAATGAAGGGAAAGTTCTTGGATTAAAGATTTGTGTTAGGGCCGAGCCACTCCAAACAATAAACAGGTTTTTATAGTTCACAATCTTGGGGTTCACAATGGGTTCAAATATCCTGTAACAGTAGAGAGCAACCTGTTTCTGGGAATTTTAGAGTGAATACTTAAATAACATTAATCTAATTTCTAGACGATTGAAAGCTGGAAGAGATGACAATTAGGTAAGATTATAGGTAAACAGACCGAAATGAGCTGTTAGGTTCTGTTCTACAATTTAAGTAGATGTTGTAAATTGTCAAAGAAAAGTATAGAAAATCTAATTATTACATTATTATCCATAACAAAGTGTTGGAAGTTGACCATAAGTAAAAATGACTAAACAGTAAAATCAATTGTGATTATTTACTGTCTGTACAATAGGTAGCCCAGAACCAGAGACTGCAGTGTTAATGTTCTGCCTTATTTGGTGAAGCTAAGTGAAATGTGTTTTACCCAACATGAGCCTTTCTTTGGTTAGTTTAAAATCCATGTATCCTTTTTTGGCCTCACACTCACTGTGTAGCCAGGACAGTGAAGTTGAATTTTGATCATCAAGTCTCCACATTGCAAGTGTTGGGGATAGGCATAAACCATTGCACCTGTTTACGAGCTGCTTGGGATCAAACTCAGGGCTCCATGCACACTAGGCAACTACCCTCCTGAAGGACCTCAAATAAACAAATGATGCCCTGACACATACAATAATACCAGACCAGAACTAAAACCAGGTGTAACTTAAACACTTCCAAAGGAAGTTAAGAATTCCCTGATTCCAGTGAGGAGTATTTTTCATTATTTATTTGAAGAGTGATCTTTTCAGCCATGGCATTTCCTGTAATGAAGGGCAAGTAAGTGTAAATTATAAAGCCACTGATTTAGCATAGGAACAAAATATTCAAACGGTTTTATGATGGTGTAATGAGATTATTAAGTTACTGTTGGTGAAGTAAGCAGTACAAACACTTGGGCGTATAAGCAGACTGGTAGAGTCAGTAGAAATTTAGATAATGTGATCTTTAAAACAGGACAGAACACAGATCAGGACATTGCAGCCAGTCCTGAAGATACCTGATAAGCAGGGGTCAGATGGAAGGGGAGGAGGAACTCCCCTATCAGTGGATTTGGAAAGAGGCAGGGAGGAGATGAGGGAGGGAGGGTGGTTTGGAAGGGAAAGAGGGAGTGGGCTATGACTGGAATACAAGTGAATGACCAGTGATTAAAATAAAAAATAAAATAAAATAAAAACAGGACAGGAGCCTACCACAGAGGGCCTCTGAAAGACTCTACCTAGCAGTGTATCATAGCAGATGCTGAGACTCACAACCAAACCTTCGGCAGAGTGAAGGGAATCATATAAAAGAAGGGGGAGTTAGTAAGACCTGGAGAGGACAGGAGCGCCACAAGGCCCAAATATATCTGGGCACAGGGGTCTTTTCTGAGGCTGTTTCTCCAACCAAGGACCATGCATGGATATAACCTAGAACCCCTGCTCGGATGTAGCCCATGGTAGCTCAGTATCCAAATGATTACCTTAGTAAGGGGAACAGGGACTGTCTATGACATGAACTCAGTGGCTGGCTCTTTGACCTCTCCCCCCCTCCCAGGGAGGAGCAGCCTTGCTAGGCCACAGAGGAAGACAATATAGCCAGCCCTGATGGGAACTGATAGACTAGGGTCAGAGGGAAGGGGAGGAGGACCCCCCACATCAATGGACTTAGAGAGGGGCATGAGAGGAGATGAGGGAGGGTGGTTGGGGATTGGGAGGGAATGAGGGAAGGGGCTACAGCTGGGATACAAAGTGAATAAACTGTAATTAATATTAAAAAATAAAAATTTTGGAAAAAAACAGTTCAAATCTGTGAATGCAGAAATACATTATTTGTTGTTTTGAAAAAAGGGAAGCAATGTGACATTGTGTGATGTCTGTAACTTGCTTCTCTGGTAAAATACACTCAAAGGGAAATGTTGTTTCCTTTTACAGTAGCATAGTCTAGAAACAACCCTACAACCCTGTAGTGCCCCATGTAAAATTCTTATGTCACAACTCATCAGCTGGTTCACAAATCTTTCCAGACCTTTTGATTTGCATAGATTAGATCACAGTTTTCTTTTTCAAAGCTTTAAATGTACCCCACCTCTTCTTGAAATCAGTATATTTGGATTGGTTTTCATTGGAAAATTTCAACCATTCAATGGAATTCCAGTTCCATATCAGTGAGTTCCAGTCATTGTGCACTGTGGGAGGACACCATGGAGAAGTTAGAAATACATGCACTTGAGATTTTCTGCAGTGCCTCATTCTTCCCCAACTTTCTTCACCTTCAATTCATTTGTTCTTTTTTCTAAGCTTTTCTAAGCTAACTAGAAAATTATTGATCAGTATTTTGTTCTACCTGTAGATTAGAACTTCATACTAGACATTTCACCTTAAGTTTGGCTAATTACTTCTGACTCTTATGTGTTAAAGAGTAAGTCATAATATTCAGCAAATAGTAGTACTTATATTTGGTTATAATGCAGAAAAATAAATATCTACCTCCATTGCCAGAAATGTCATATAGCATATGCTGAAAAGGTGTCCTGACATCAGGTGTAAAAAAAGCTTAATAGGTATGATCCTTTGAATTAAATATTTGACTTAATTTTTTTAATTATTATAATTTATTCACTTTGTATCCCAGCTGTAGACCCCTCCATCATTCCCTCCCAATCCCACCCTCCTTCCCTCCTTTTCCTCCCATGCCCCTTCCCCAGTTCACTGATAAGGGAGGTCTTTCTCCTCTTCCATCTGACCCTAGCCTATCAGGTCTCATCAGAACTGTCTGCATTGTCTTCCTCTGTGGCGTGTCATCCTCCTTCAGGGGGAGGTGATCAAAGAGCCAGGCACTGATTTCATGTCGGAGAAAGCCCCTGTTCCCATTACTAGGAAACCCACTTGGAGACTGAGCTGCCATGGGCTACATCTGTGCAGGGGTTCTAGGTTAACACCATGCATGGTTCTTGGTTGGAGTACCAGTCTCAGAAAAGACAAGACCCAACAATCTGTTACATATAAGAAATTCACCTAAGTCACAAAAATAGGTATTACCTGAGAGTAAAGGGCTGGAAGATGGTTTTCCATGCAAATGGACCCAAGAAGCAAGCAGGAGCAGCCATTCTAATATCTAATAAAATTGACTTTCAACCAGAATTAATCAAAAAGAGATGGGGAAGGACACTTCATACTCATCAAAAGAAAATTCCACCATGAAGAAATCACAATTCTGAACATCTATGCTCCAAATACAAGGACACCCACATTAGTAGAATAAATATTACTAAAACATAAACTACACATAGATCCCCACACATTAATAGTGGGAGACTTCCACACCCCACTCTCAACAAAGGACAGGTCAACAAAACAGAAATTAAACAAAGAATCAATGAATCAAATGGACCTAACAGACATCTACAGAACCTTTCACCTAAATACAAAAGAATTTACCTTCTTCTCAGCACCTCATGGAACCTTCTCCAAAAACCATATAGTTGGTCACAAAGCAAGCCTCAACAGATACAAGAAGATTGAAATAATCCCTCGTATCCTATCTGACCACCATGGACTATATATTTGACTTTAATGTTTTTATTTTTTAATAATACATCATTAAATAAAAACCATGGAACAATTAAAAGGAGAGTAATTCATAGAGGCCCTGTTCCTGTTGTTAAATAATAGTACTGCATGTTGAGATTATAATCTTACAATACCGCAGCTGATTTTATGGATCCTGGGGATTGAGCCTAGGCCTTCAGCATACCAAACAAGCATACTATCAGGAGAGATACATATCCAACCTTCTGTTCATCCTTCAACCACAAAAAAGTCTACATAATTTTGAGTCACATAGCCTTGGTATAGAAATTAGAAGGCATAATCCCCTAAAATGGTTTAAAAATCATCACATCTGGGTTGTTTCCAGGTTCTGGCTATTACAAATAAAGCTGCTAAGAACATGGTTGAAAAAATGTCCTTGTTGAATACTTGAGCATATTTTGGATATATGCCTAGGAGTGGTATAGCTGGATCTATAACACTATTCCTAATTGAGAAAGCGCCAGATTTATTTCCAAAATGGTTTTACAAGTTGACATTCCCACCAGCAATGGAGGAGGGTTCCCCTTTCTCCATATCCTCTCCAGCATGTGTTGTCACTTGTGGTTTTGATCTTAGTCATTCTGAGGGGTGTAAGGTGAAATGTCAGGATTGTTTTGATTTGCATCTCCCTCAGGGCTAAGGAAGGAGCTCATTTCTTATTTCAG